AACTACCTTTGCTACCCAACATAAAAGGAAATATTCTGAGAAGAACATGATAGTGAAAAATCTCCATCAGAGCAGAAAATTTTGGGAAAACACCAACAACAACACCACCACCAACAACAACAACAAAAACCCTAAAAGAAAATCCTTTGACCTTGTATCTTCAAGATAAATGTAATCTTAATCTCAGCTAATTGCCAGTTTACCAATATTCAGTTAATGAAGGGAAGAAGTTATCTATTAAATTTTAATCTAGCAAAAAGTTGAACTCTTCCTTTTACATGGCATTTAAATGTGAAAGCAGAAGTCTTGTTTTTAAACTTGCCAATATAAAGAAGTGAAAAAATAAGGAAGACTTAAGATTGACAAGACAACAGATAGGGCTTTGGGTAGTTATGACAAGGCTAAGAGACTTGGTTATGATTCAGATGAAGGAGAAAACACATGGAGATGGACTACTGGACAACCAGAAGAATTTGCCTGGACAATGTAACTTTTTTTGGTTGGCAAATTATTTCAGACTAAAAAAAATCTAGTTTGCTAACCCCATGGACAAAACCAGTTAGTACAAGCTGGAATAGAGAGACAGACAGAATCAAGAGTTCACAAAAAATAACTCCCCACCCCCACCCCAGTTATGCAAACACTGCATAGAAGTGTGTGTTTTGTGGCCAAAGAGTACAAGACAGGGCAATAACCAGCTGAGGAAGTAAAGATCCCTCTTTGCCAAATTAGTCCAATCCCAGGAAGGGTATAATTAAAAACACACTATTAAAAATACTGTCACAACAAGCACTAAGTTGTTCATGGCCACATAAGCAAGGATCTGGGCACAGCTCTCTTAACAATTTAATCAACACTGAAGACCCATAATTAATACTTCCGCACAAAAGCCACGCCTGAGCATTAGTATTCTCAAATAGAGAAAAACTTTTTTTTATCTTAAGCCATGTGATGCAAAACTTTTTAAGGCTTTATTTATGGGAGACAAGCTTAAACTGGTCCTGACTGTAAACCGCGGGCTCTCGTTGTGTGCCCCCCCCAATACTGGACAGACAACCCTGTGCAAGTGTACTCACACACACACAAACATGACCTTTTTCAAATCAGGGGTGTGCAATAGTAGATAGCTCTGCAATTGGGTTGCCTGTGTTTTGAGCCACATCTCCCCCTCCCTCAGCTTGCTGAAGTCAATAAGTCCTGATGAGGACTCACAGGGCTAAAGACACTACTGTGGACGCTGCTGGGATTAGTGTGCTAGCTAAATGAAGCCAGTCTCAGCCAAACCTGTTACTAGTTCAAGCATTGGCCTTTCAAATGCTCACAACCCAGCAGTTTTGGTGTGCTGCTTGTGCAAACATCTTGTGCTCCGTAGTAAAACCAGTTACTGAAATGTATTTATCCAACTTGAAGGATTGCACCTGATATGGAAGACAAAGTATGTTGAGGAAAAGTCCAGTAGCAAATTCACAAAGGAAACAGAATGCAGAGAAATGAAAACATGAATTGCCTGCTTTATATGAACAACAATCTAAAAGCTGCTAATATCTGGCTATTTACTGAATAGCTACTTACTTAGTTTGAAGAACAAAAGGTAGAAATACAAGACTACTAAGATATGTTCAGAATTAGTCACACAAACTCAAGTTAGGAGCTTGTCAGTTTTTCCACACAGAAACAAGTGCAAAAGACAGTAATGGAAGGTTTATGAGGAATACATTTGCCAAAAAATATTCATCTGCTTTTTTCTCCCCCTCAAACTTCTATAAGGCACTTAAGCAAATGGGCTGTGAAAAGAAATGGGAGCTGTGAGATGGTTGGATTATGACCAAACACGTCACAAAATCTTATGCTTAAATCAAATTTGCAGTTTCTCTGGCACAGAAGATACGAACTGTCTGAGGGACTGTACAGAAAATACCCTTGCAGCTGGCAAAGTGCAGAGCCAGTGAGGTGTGCAGCAAGAATGGTCTTATGCCCTTTTTATTTATTGTTTTCATTAATGACTTGAAAAAGGAAGTAACATATGTTGCATAGCTTGTAAGACAGTAACATGAGAGAAACATATGGTAGATTTGCCATCTAGTCTAAACAGAGAAATAAGCAGAAAGTGGAGATCAGAGTGGGGCAGATACCACAGAATGAGGTTCGTGTTGAGGCTAAGCAGCTAAATCCAGAGGAGATGTACTTAACTGAGGGATAAATCTAGACTAGTATGATGGTAGAAGAGTTCTGTTAGGTGAAGCACTCAGTAGCTGGACACCATCTTTGTAGCATAATGTAAAATTAAGAAAAAAAGACATTTTTCCTGTGCAGAGATACAACTTCCAGGCTCAGAGACATGTTGTTTTCCCAGGGACTCAAGCCTTAAACTTGTGTGGAATAACTGATTTCATTTGACACACTATATTTCAAAAAAAATAGTGATAATTTAGAGGCCAGTTGGGAAAAAAAAAACAAACCAAACCCAAACAAAACAGGAGCAGGTACTAGGGGACTTAAAGGATTGACAAAAAAAACACCCAAAACCTAAAGGAGTTAAATATGCTTGTCTTCTGTAAGTCACAATTAATTATATGAACATAATTATGCAGACATACATACCAAGGGGTGAGTGGGAGGGAATCTATTCAGAAGCAAAGGCAGGTAAACTGGAAGGAAGCAGATTAACTTCAAATGGAACACAGAAAGCAAAGACTAGCTAAATAGCCCTGATTGTGAAATATACTATGCCTTAAGCAGGGCAAGTGACACTGTTTAGCCCCTGTAGGAACCTGTGGAAAAGTGCAAATAAGTATCTTCACAAGGAAATAGGTATCTTTTATGTCTAGAACTTAAAATTCTCATATGGTAAACAAAGCGCTACTGGATCTGGCCTAATGTCCTAAATCAGAAGCAGATGATACAACAATGTTGGAAGTGCAGAGATGCTCCTTTCCCTCTGGGTCAACCAATTCCCCAACCTGCTATGAGGACAGCAGGCTGAGAAGCACCGATTTAAAACTGAAATGTGAAACCAGAATCTTGCTACCCAGTGTCAGTGCCTTTTACAACCCCAGCATTAGACTTCTCTCTGTGTCCTAAT